ACAAACCCTTAACCTGAAAGTAGAAGACAAATGATATTTCACCGAATGATATTAAATGCTATCCTAGTATCACTCAAGAGAACATCTACTTCACTTGAGCGTGTGAATGGCGGAACGTAAGTGTGCGTGAAGATGGTTTTATACCTACACAGGTCACTTTCTGAATAAATGGCTTTTTGTTACTGAGGCTCTGCTGTATACCTAAGAAGGTACTGTATGGAGGGAATAACGAAGCCTCAGGAGATAGGTGATCCTGGATTCCAAGTCAGCCTCCAAACTCACTAAATTAAATTACCTAACTTCTCTGAGCCTAACTGCCTCCTTCTGTAAGACACACATGATACCAGCAAAGGGCTACTGCAAAAAAAGAAGTTTAATGTAATTAAAATGTATTCCCACCCCCACATCTTTCCTTTTCAGTTCTTTGGAACATACAAAACAATTTAATATATGTGCTGCCGAAGCGAGCACAATACAAAACAAATGAAATATTTACAAAGCACTAACTATTGAGTAAGCCTCATCACTGGACACTGCAGGAGGTTAGCAGACTATTAGTTGCTGTCCTCATGGAGTTTACAATCTTGTATGTACGCTATGTTTAAACTTAAGAGATCTCATATCGCTTTGTACACATTTACATGGTCCCTTATCACTATAATGTAATCTCCTGGAAGGTAATTTACACCTAGCACTATGCTTGGGACTTAGCATGCAAAGGAAAGAAGCTGAGAAGGGAAGGAGGAAATAGTCCAATGAAATATACTGAATCATAAATTCTATTTAGTGCACCTTACTTCTAAAATATAGAAAGGTACGGGGCACCTGGGTGGCTCAGTGGGTTAAACCGCTGCCTTCGGCTCAGGTCATGATCTCAGGGTCCTGGGATCGAGTCCCGCATCGGGCTCTCTGCTCAGGAGGGAGCCTGCTTCTCTCTCTCTCTCTCTCTCTCTCTCTCTCTGCCTGCCTCTCTGTCTACTTGTGATCTCTCTCTGTCAAATAAATAAATAAAATCTTAAAAAATAATAATAAAATAAAATATAGAAAGGTACTTTTGGGGGAGGGGGCGGGTAGGACAAAGAGAAGATAGGTAGTATAAGGAAGAATCACCTTTTGAAAAGACTTTTTTAGGGACGCCTGGGTGGCTCAGTTGGTTGGACGACTGCCTTCGGCTCGGGTCATGATCCCGGAGTCCTGGGATCGAGTCCCACATTGGGCTCCCCGCTCCACGGGGAGTCTGCTTCTCTCTCTGACCTTCTCCTTGCTCATGCTCTCTCTCACTGTCTCTCTCTCAAATAAAATAAAATCTTAAAAAAAAAAAAAAAAAGAAAATACTTCTTTAGGGGCGCCTGGGTGGCTCAGTGTGCTAAAGCCTCTGCTTTCAGCTCGGGTCATGATCCCAGGGTCCTGGGATGGAGCCCCGCATCGGGCTCTCTGCTCAGCAGGGAGCCTGCTTCCCTTCCTCTCTCTACCTGCCTCTCTGTCTACTTGTGATCTCTGTCTGTCAAATAAATAAATAAAATCTTAAAAAAAAAAAAATACTTTTTTAAACTCATGACTTAAAAGGAAGCTTTTTCCCCTTATAAATCATAAGGGAATTATAATTTTTAAAATATTTATTTATTTCAGAGAGCTGGGGAGGGGTGGGGGAAGGGAGAGAGCGAGAATCCTCAGGCTGACTGCCAACTGAGCCGGACATAGGGCTCAATCTCACGACCCAGAGATCATGACCTGAGCGGAAACCAAGAGTCAGATGCCTAACCAACTGAGCCACCCAGGTGTCCCATAAATTCTTTTGTAAATTATATCCCATTGGCTCAGTGGGTTAAAGCCTCTGCCTTCGGCTCAGGTCATGATCCCAGGGTCCTGGGATCGAGCCCCACATCGGGCTCTCTGCTTAGCAGGGAGCCTGCTTCCTCCTCTCTGCCTGCCTGCTTCTCTGCCTACTTGTGACCTCTGTCAAATAAATAAATAAAATCTTTAAAAAAAAAAAAATCAACACCTTCATGTTCTAGTGATATAAGCTAATTCAAAATAAAAACACAGTACAGACATAGTACAGCCAGCATGATGCTCTACTCCAGAGATGGGCAACCTACAATCTCCAGCCTTCTTTTAAACCTGCAAACTAAGAACGGCTTTTACATTTTTAAGAGTTATAAAACAACAGCAAAGAAAACAAGACTAAGTGTGTCCAGCAAAGCCTAAAATATTTACTGTCTGTCCCTCGACAAAAAGTTTGCCAACTCCTGCTCTACTTCCTAACAGAATTTTGAATCTCTCACCAAACTAAATACTTCAATACTTCCGAGCTGACATTTAAGGCAATTTATAGGATTTCTCTCTCCACTCCCCTGCCCACTTGGCTCTTACTAGCCACTTTCTTCACACACAAGCATTTACACAAATATTAATTACCATATACTAGGCTAGCACCAAAAAACCCCAGAGGCTGACCATGTCTTTTGTTAAATAACAAGTGTTCTAGGATAAGCATTTTCCCAACAATGAGTTTAAGTTCCACAATGGATTAGTAAAATCGGGCCTATGTTGACCAGAACCCATAACTTATGCCAACTTCTCCATCTGCACATATTCAATATTGGGGGAGGGGAGGACACCAACAGTTCCCAGTGCAAAGTCAATAAATTGATTATTAATAGGCTGGAGTAACATTCACCTAGCTTCAATAACAAGGACAAAACAGGAAATAGAAGGTGACAAGAACCAAATTCAGTAACTGTGTGGGACACTTGTGGATTTGAGAGTTAAGTTCTTTACCACTTACATCATACCACACGAAGACAAGGAGGGTTACTGACACATTTAAGACTCTAACAATAAAAAAGTGAAAAAAAAAGACCATTTCTGAAAGCATAGAAGAGACAGTTCAATCTAATACGAAAGTACCCAAAATCTGGAGAGCAGTATGAACCTATCAGACGAATACATCAGAAAGAACTTTTATTTCAGCATGATTAGTAATATGTGATATGGGACACAGAAGAGTACTAAAAATTACCTTCCAGGACAAGCAACACAAGAATAAAACATTCCTCTCCCAACACTAGAAAGGAAAAGCTAGGTGCCCACTTTCCCTAAAACTATCAAAACCTGAGAAGCACTCAAAATGAGTATTCTTCCTCATTAAACACTCTGCAGAAAAAAATAAAAAATCCATACACATACTTTAAAAAACAAAAGAATAAAACTTAAAGAAGGATCTTATTGAACTACTTTAAAGAGATTCAAAAGTCTGAGAAAAAGTTTGTCATTTTTAAGGAAAGGTCTCTAGTCAACAGTTTCGATATACCGCATACACACATCGTAAACGAGAAACTAAAAATACAAATTTTTTTTCTATTCCGGGAGAACCTTAGTCCTTACCTATAAATCTCTAAAATGTAACCCTACAAACTTCAGATACTGAATACACTGGGTAATTTTTTTAAAAGTGTCAATGAATTCAAAGTGTCCTTTCCATGCCTAACTTTCTGTAATGGTTTTATTATGACTTCTAATAATGAAATTAGCACTACACCACCAATATAATGAACATACAAATACTGGGATCATTCATTACAGTACCAAATTATTTAACATTAGAAACACTAGACACCCAAAGTGGCTCAGGAACCACTTGTATGCACTTCAGGAGTGTTAATTCACGCACCGGACTTATTAAGCATTTATACAGAACGTTTATATTTGCCAAGTGTTTCATAATCATTTTTATTAGCTGTTTTACTCCAAAAGAATCCATGAAGAACTTACAGAAGAGGAACCTAGACCTAGAGGAACCAAAGAAAACCAAGTTTATTCTGGAGGAAATAACAGAATTCTCTTACAAGATGCCAGATACTCTTAATTACTTTTCATTGGCAATATGAAATTTTTCAAGAAATAAGCTATGAATTAATGAATGTGAAAAATATTAAGGAAACACTGCACTGAATTCTCTGGAAATGCTTAAACACTCTGAAGTACTCTGGAACACTACAGTTCTTTACCACGGACACAATGAAGAAGTAAAATTCTCTCAAACGGCAAACTTAATGGCCAAATATAAAAGGCTATTTTTTACACTTGCTTTAAAAAAGGTAATCAAAGCTCACGGAACAAGCTTAAAGCCAGGAGTCCGGTCCACCACGAAAAAACTAGAACCCAGCTAAAAGCAGCGTGAGGAGGAAGTTCTGGAAGCAGCCAGAATCTGGAAGGAGCCTGAAGCTGCTGTTCAGCCCGCTCAGTGAATACATCTTTCCGAAGATAATGGTTCTAACCAGAACTTGTGGTTTAATCTCAGCACCAGCAATGGATCCCATCCAATGTTTTGGAGGCTGAAAACTTGCCCCAGTGCTAGACGTGGAGGAAAGTTCCTTCCTTGGCCCATTTAAACATCCCAAATTTCTTTTACCTTGGTGTTACATCTTAACGAGAAAAAACTGTGCGCGCGCCGCGAGCGCAGTTTGCCTGCGGAGTTGTCCTGACCCCAGGTCTCTCCGTCAGAGCCCATCAACGCTAATTCCCGAGTCCGAGCTCGACTCCTCATCCAGCTAGCAGCCCCAGCCGGTACATCGCACACTCTTTTCTTTGCCCTCCCTCTCCTTCCTACCTCCTGGGGCCAATTTCGTGACCCACATCCCTAGACCCCGCAGAGCCCCAACATAACCCCCCCCCCATTATACTTCCGCCCCGGAGGCTTCCCAGTTAACCTTCACCCCAGCCCCCACCCCATCTTTGTCTCGTTACCCCAAACACAGCACCTCAACGTTCCCCACTCCCAACCGCAGCCCTTCCCCCACCGCCGACCCCCACCCTCCCCAGTCTCTTCCCCACCCCCACGTCCCCCACCCCTCGGCTGGGTCACCCCAGCTCCTCGCCTCCCCAGCCCCGCATGACCCGTCCCCTCCCCCCAGCTTCCTCTGTCCCTTCCTTCCCCTCCCTCGGCCCCTCCGCCCACGCCCACCCCTGCTCCAGCGGGTCCCGGGCAGGCCTTTCACCTTGTCCATGAGCTTCCAGCACTTCTCCACCATCTTCTTGTCCACGGTGCCCGGCGGGTGGGGGCTGAGGTGGTGGTGGTGGTGGTGGTGCGGCTGGAAGGCGTCCTTCATGAGCCCGATCAGGCCGCCCGAGCCCGAGCCCCCGGAGCCGCCGCCGCCCCCGGCCCCGGAGCTCTTTTTCACGTTGCCGGCCATGGCCCGGGGAGGGTTGGGGGCCCAGCCGCGTCCGCCGGCTCCGCTCCGCTGCGAGCGAGGGAAAGAAGGAGGGCGTGAAGGAGGGGCCTCTCCCGGCCGCCACCGCCGCCGCCGCCACCGCCGGCTGTCCGGGTGGAGGGAGGGGCGGCCGCGGGGAGGGGAGTGGGCGGCGACGGGAGCGCGGGTCCGCGCGGGCGCGCCCCTTCCAAGAGCGCGAGCCCGGGGGCGGGAGGAGAGCGCGGAGCTCGGCGAAGCCGGCTGCCTGGTCCCGACTGGGTAGCGACCGCTCCTGCGCCACCCCCTCCCGAGTCACAGCTCCCGGAAAGCCGCGGCCAAGTTTCCGCGCCGCCTACCCCTCCCCTGTCCCCGGGGGCGGGCCCAGGCGGAACCTTTGCGCCTGCGCCCTCTGCTGGAGAAGCCGGGAAAGGAAGGGGGCGGGGTCTGACAGGAGTCTGCGCACTAGACAGAAGCCGAGCCCTCCATGTTCCTTGTGGGCTGTAAGGTTGGCGCTTTGAGTGGTTTATTGGGACATTTAAATGAAGACAGGTAGCAGTGGAAGGAACCTAGACGTCAAGTCTTTACCCCCTACCTGACGGATGAGGAAATTGAGCTTAAAGTCATTTGCTTCTTCACACTGTTGGAGAAAAACAGAAGTTCTTTCCCCACCCCTTGGTGTTTTGAACTCATTAAGTCGGCACCAAGGACAAGAATGTGACAAGAATGTGACTGTTGCCGATATTCAAGCCTGATTACACCCCAGAAAGGCTTGAGACACTCAGGCCGCAAGCTCTTCTTCCAGGCCTTTTGACTTTCTGAAAACAAAACACCTCCCCCTCTTTTGGCTTCTGAACACTAGTTCCTTTTTCTGGGAATTGAGTATGTACTTAAGATTCCCCAGCTCAGCGCACTGGGCTCCACACATTGCGCGGCAGGTCAGCGCGGCCGGCAATGGCCTTGACCACAGATGCTGTAAGACGGGTGTGAGCTCTGACCAGAGGAGTACTCGCTCCTCTTGTGGAACCGAAACGCAGTTCCCAGTCATTTCCACTTCTCTAATCTAAAAGTTCTGTTGGAAAAACTTTGAAAAAAAAAAAAAAAGGGAACTTTCTTCCTAAAGAAGGAAGTGCCCTGCCCTAATTTGCTAATTCTGAGCCTCCTCTTTGGGAACTTGCAGGCTCTAGTGTGTCTGTAAGTACTCAGTTCCGTCTTAGATCCCCCACCTGGGTCTTCCACAAAGCCGTTGACTGATAAGGGAATTAACTTTACCGTGTGCTCCTGTCACAGTTGGGGAGAATCTCTCCGAACTCAAGCACCCATCAGCCAGACATCCTTGTTTTGCAATTCAATGGCCTTTACCTAAGATTGATTAAGGAGTCAACATTATTTCCTATCAGTAGAATTTCCTTTAATCAGTTCCTACCTAGAGAAAGAAGAAATCTCCCAAGGGAAACTCTAGACAAGCCTCTCAGATAATTGTCAAAACTTCCCATCTACCACCCTGGTTGCAGGCCCTTCCTTTCTCTCCCCTGATCTGTTTATTGAAACGTTTTCCTCACTGGTTTCCCTGTCATCTCCAAACCATTCTGCCACCAGACCAGTCTTCCTGACGTATAGTTCTGATGGCATCAGAAAAAAAAACTTCAAACATTCCTGATTGTCTCCTGAATGAAGTTAACAGTCATGATCTAACTCCAAACTACCTCGCAGTTTTATACTATTCCAACATGTATATCCTATGCTGGGTGAGTCACCAAGTCACAAAATACCACAATTCTTTCTTTTTTCATCACCATGGCTGAGAGTATCCCCTCTGCCTAAAGTGTGCTACTGAAGGGGCACCTGGGTGCCTGGGTGCCTCGGTGGGTTGGACCTCTGCCTTCTGCTTGGCTCATGATCCCAGTGTCCTGGGATCTTTCCTTGGCAGGGAGCCTACTCCCCTTTCCCTCTGCCTGCCTCTCAGCCTACTTGTGATCTCTCTCTCTGTCAAATAAATAAATAAACCCTTTAAAAAAAATAAGTGTGCTACTGAAGTCCTATCCATTCTTCAGAACCCAGCTCAAATATTTTCTTTTTCTCACCAGACATTCCAGCTAGAAATATCCTTTCCTCTTCTAAATTTCCATAACCCTGTATTCTCACAGATGCCTCATATTAATTTATGCTCTGCTGTCTGGTAGACTTTAGTTTTCCACAGTACCTAACACAGTATAAGTACACAGGGTATTTTCGCCCTCCCCATCAAATGCTAGATTTAATGGAATACAGGCAAGAAATTAACCCCTGGATCTATATGGGTTCCTCTGGGTCATCTACACATCTCTGGCTTCCTTTAAGGCTTCCAATTTTTATTATTTCAGTACCACCTGGATAGAATGTAATGATATAATTTATACTTTATTTCTGCTTGCAGGAGCCATATTTCTGGGGGACCTGGGAGCCTGTGACTCTCAATTTCATCTCAGGTCATGAGGTCAAGCCCTACATCAGGCTTATACTGGGTGCGGAGACTGCTTAAGACTCTCTCTCTCTCTCTCTCTGCTCCTCCCCCCTCCCCAAAGAAGAAGGAAAAACAAAAGCCATAGTTTAGAGGTGTTTTTTTTTTAAATTTTTTTAAGATTTATTTATTAGAGAGACAGAGAGCACGTGCAGGACATATGCAAATGGGGGAGAGGGGTAGAGAATCTCAACAGATTGGGCGCTGTGCAGAGCCTGAGGGGTGGGGTGGGGGTGGGGGCCTCTATCTCATGACCCTGAGATCAGGACCTAAAGCAAAATCAAGAGTCAGGTGCTTAACTGACTATGCCACTCAGGCACCCTACAAAAGAGAAAAAGCCATATTTCCTTGAATATACAAATGACCTATATCTCACATCTGAATAAACCAGAGAGAGTGATGGTTCTCTCCTCTGTGTCTCTTTGAACTCCCAGATGGGATCCTATTCAAAGGAAGACAGAGTTCTGTGGAGATGATCTTACCTATTTTCACTTCTAAGCTGAAGTTAATGAAAAAAGAAGGAAAGAATGACCTTTTTTTTTTCTCCCCCCACAATTTTACTTGGCATGTTTTCAACATATACTGAAGATGGGATTGGATTGTTGATCACAGTGTCATTTGCATTCTTGGCTTATTCGAGAGCCGGCTAGGTTTGTATCATCACATCATGTGACATGGGGCACTTTCTTACTCCATTTCACCTTCACCCAAACCACATCCTCATTCTGCACCCGAAAGTCAGTTGACTGAACATATTTGAAAAGTAAATGCTCTTCGGAGGCATGATATGTTGTTTGTTTTCTGTAAACCCTGTCCTCAAAATGCTGGCCCCTGCATGGGCGTAATGCGGAGATTACTCATTCCCTGGAAAATGACCCCAAACAGGCTTCTAGATGAGGAGAAGGACTGGGGCAGGAATCTCTACTGCATTTCTGTGCAAGGGGGAAGGGTTCAGGGAAGGCGGGGCAGAGAATAAATGAAAAACACACTTTAAGATGAAAAGAAAAGTATTCTCCAGATTTGGGAATTGTGCATAGAGTTATCTGACCCTGGGGTACAGGAACTGTAAGCCCCAGGAAAGGCAAGCCTGGTTCTTCTTTTTATGCTGTAAAATGTCTGAAGAATCAGAGAAGTACCCTGCAGCCACCAAGGTGACAGACAAACACGAATCAGCCACCACCTGAATCTGTCCACTCCCCAGAGGAAGGCTTTTTTTTTTTTTTTTTTTTTTTGACAGAGAGAGAGATCACAAGTAGGCAGAGCAGCAGGCAGAGGGGAGAGGGGGAAGCAGGCTCCCTGCTGAGCAGAGAGCCTAATGCAGGGATCATGATCTGAGCTGAAGGCAGAGGCTCAACCCACTGAGCTACCCAGGCACCCTGAGGAAGGCTTTTTAAATCCCAGATCTCAAAGCATTTCTTCAGATCTGCTCCTGACAGCAGGCAATTGACCAAAAGTGTTGACACAGAGAGAGAGAAATATCTAAAGGATCTGCAGACGCGGCCCAAGAATTTAAGTAGAAAAATTTAGGAGACGCCAGAAGTCAAGCAAGTCCACTAGAGGGAGCCCCGACCAACTCAGGACTGAGGGGAGCCTTGCAAAGTAGCTTCACAGCACCCGACTGAGAATCAGCCACATTAGGGAACAGGGGAAGCAAGGCAATAAATTAAGCTCCCACAAGGGAAGAAAGCCCTGTGAATACCCAGCTAAAATCCGGTCCTTTCAGGATTTACAGCATCAAAGACTTAAAGACCAGGAAACTGAGGTTGAGCAAAATTAAATGGCTTGTCAGAGTTTACACAACCGGAAGGGGGACTAGAACTCATGGCTCTTGTCTCTAACCAATATCCTTTCTTCTACATTTGTCTCCCTCTATGTCAGCACCCTGGAGTCCATGGGTCTACCTCTCCTCTGGGTTGCCTTTCTCTGAAGTGAGAAACTCCCTCAGCTACCTTCTGCACTTCTTTCCCTCATACACTGCAAAACGCCTTCCCAAAGCCTAATAATGTCATTGTGCTCCCTCAAGAGCCCTAGGGATATAAATCACCTAGAATGGCTACTGTCAGCCCTTTTCCTCTGTGTCAGCACAACAGCATCCTGTCAGATGTGAAAATCTGTCATTTGTATGTCTCAGAACTTCAGGCACTGCTAAGTGAAAATAAAGCATAGTTAACTGGTTCCAAAGCTCTTTCTCCTCAAAATACATTTAGGATTTAGGGATAAGGCGAGAAGCGACCCTCCAGGACCTTTGTGCTTGGCGCATTCCACCTGCCTATGAGCTCCATGTTTCCCAGTTACCTGGACAACATTTGGTCTCCAGAAACCCAACCGTGCAGTTCTCAGTCCCGCCCTCAAAGGAAATTTGCCACCCTGGATTGGCTCCCAGAACCCAGGCTCCTCCTCAGGCTCCGAGCTGGTTGGGCCTTTTCTCTGCCCCTCCCATGAGTGGGTCACCCCACAGGGAGACGCAGCAGAGGCCAGAGAGGATCCTACAGGTAAGAAGAGGCAGGGCAAGGATGATGGGAAGAGGGAAGGGACAAGTACTGAGATTTATTTTCTCCAAAAGACGACTGCGAGGAATGATTTCTGCTCATAGAACCTGACTGATAGAAAGAAACAGCTCCATCCTCCCCAAACCCCAGCCTTGCCTAAAGTTCCAAGGAGTCCAAGCATGGAAGCTTCTGGAAAGTAAAAGAGAAAGACTTGGAGACTAGAACTCTAACTATCCTAGGACTCCTGGTTCAGTCCAGGGGTCAGGAAAGGAGCCCCATGCCCAGGCTTAAATATGAGTCCTCTCCCTCCCTAGGACAGCAAGGAGATGCCACCCAAAACCAAAGGAAAAGGGAAGAAAACTGGGGCACAGAAGAAGAAAGAGAATGCGGGCGCTGGTGAGTCAGGGTGGCTGGAGGTGAGTGCCTCCTGCTTTTCCATGCTCTGGCTTAGAGACCAAGCAGAGGTGCTCCAGAGAGAACGCAGCCCTCTGCATGACAAGACAGAGTTTTCATGACCCTCCCTCTTCGTGTCTTCCCCCTGCCCCCAGGTTCCATGGAGCTGGGAAATTGGGGAAATCAGCATGCACCCGCTCTGTGGTGCCCTTCTGGCTCTGTGCCTTCCTTAGTACATTCATCACCCATATTCCAAGTACCTACTCTGTGCTGAGCAGCCAGGACACAGGGGTGAACTCAGTAGCCTCTGCCATCAGAGATCCCTCGTTTAGAGGTCCTCAGAGCTACAGGGAAAAAGTCCAAGGTGTAGGCTGAGGATGGGGAGACATGAGGAAGGCTGAGATCATGATAAGCTGAGATTTTGCCAACTTGCCAGGGCAGATGTGGAGACCAAGTCCGCACACTGGCGGGCAGTGATGGAGAAGGAGCTGCTCCAAGACCACCTGGGTAAGAAGGGTAAAGGCTCTGGGACACCAGAGGTGGGACAATGGGGCAATTTGCATCCTGGAAACTTGGATGGTTGGAGCTGTGGCAGGAGGCTGAGCTGATCTCTCCCCCATCCCCCAGTGGAGAAAGACTTGACATTGCGAGGAAGGGGTGGGCAGTGAGGGTGGGTGAGGAGAGCTATTTTTCATAAGCAGGATATGGAGTTTTGCCTTCTTAGCAATGAAGAGCTCATGGGATTCTAGGGGGAAAACCAACCAACCAATCCAGAGAGAGAATGAGAGGCTGGGAATCTGCCACCAGGTTCCCAAAGGTGGGAGGAGTCTATCAAGCCCTTGGGGCCTGATTTGGTGGGACCCCCCGCCCGTTGTGAGGACTGCTCTGGGACTTTTCACAGCTCTGTGGAGGGATGAAGCCCGCCGGGCTAAAGCTTCTGAGGAGCAGCTGAGGCAGAGGCTGCAGGTGCTGGAAGCTGAGTTGGAGGAGGCCCGAAGTGAGGGCAAGGCCATTTATGCAGGTGTGTGGTTGGCCAGGCAGGTGGGCAGGAGACAGGGGCCTGGAAGAGGACAACCAAGAGGGCCAGAGGGTGCAGGAAGGGAACCGAGGAGGACTTCCATCTGCCATGCCTAGCCCCAACCTTCCCGGCTCAGCATGGATCAGGCACAGGGCCTGAAAGAACCAAAGGAAGGCCTCCGGGATGCTGGGCAGGAACCTTCCAGGATGCCCAATGCCATGTGCTTTATGGATTACAGAAAGCACCTCTTGTAATGTGGATTACAAAAACTTAAATGGCCTTGTCTCATTGGTGCCATGGGAGTAAGTGGGGAGAAGGGCTAGAATCCAGGTCCGGGACTGGACCAGGTGGGGAGGGGGAAAAGGGTGTGGTTTCCCAGCTCTGCCCCAGGTGTTCCAGTTCTGCCAGCTTCTTAAAATCATGGGAACTGAGAAGGCGTTTATGTTCCTGTCCCACTGGGCCAAGCAGGCCCTTCGCCACCCACAGCTTCCTTTCCTCTCTCCACTACTCCATCCACACCTGGGTCCCTGGTCACCCTCTGCCCCCACCACAGAAATGAGTCGTCAGTGCCGGGCCCTGCAGAAAGAAATGGAGACCCGCAGCAGGCAGCTGGAGGAAGAAGTGACAGGCCTTCAGGAACAGCTGGGTAGGCTTCCCCACCCCCTAAGCCCTTTCTCTCCTGGGGCACTGACAAGGTCCAGCCTGCAGGGGCGGACTGAAGATCGTCTTTCTCTAGAAGACTGTGTGCTGTCTAGGCCCTTGGACCATTTTCCCCACTGACTCTTCCACCATGCAGGACTGGAGCAGAGGGTTCAAGATGACAAAAATCTCTAAGTTGTAACTAAAGCAGACCTGGGTCTCTCATCTCATCTCCCTCTCTCCAAGATCTCTCCAAATCTGGGTCTTTCTCCCCACCCCTGCCTTATCTGTCATGAGCGAAACATATTCCCTCTTAGCTGATTTTTACAATGAAACTAAGAAAAGATATTTGACTTATTTACTTTCATATCTTCAATGCCAAGTGCATGCCAAGTCCTACGTAATTATTGCTAAATAAAGGAATAAGCCTTCCAGATAAACAAAAATGTAAAGAACAGTAAGGTTTTCTTTTCTCTCTTGGTTACAAGATAGAGTTGAACTATCTTAGCATGGCACATAGGATCTTTCATAATTGTGGTCTCAGGGTTTTCTTAACCTAAAATAGCCTCAGTTTCTTTCTTAGTAGGTGCCACGCCCAATGTGGGGCTTGAACTCATGACCCTGAGATCAAGAGTGGCAGGCACTACGGACTAAGTCAGCCAGGCTTCCCTAAAATGGCCTCAGTTTAGCTACAGATACCCAAGACTTGCTTCTCTGCCATGCAGACCCTGCATTTCTTTCCAAATCCTTGCCTTATCTCAAATTTAAAATCAATCAGCATTTAGGGAGCACCTCCTGTATATATGAGGTATCTTCCCACACATTCTCGCATTTAACTCACAGTAAGCCGGTAAGGTTTATATCAGTCTGTCTTTAAAGATGAAAAAACTGAGTCTGAGAGAGGCATGCCTGAGCTTACACAGATATTAAGTAAGTGACAACCAGACTTTGGACCCACATCCCTTGTCCCAAGTCCACTACTTTCTCGGCTGTACCTTAATGGTATATGTCAGCTCTTTATAGGGACTGTGGGAAAATTGATGATCCTGGGGGAAGTCTGGAATGATCCCATTTAAGTTCTGCTTTTTAGGCACCTTTGGGGACTCTGTTCACAGGGAGATTGTCACTATGCAGTCCCCTTCATCCTTCTGCCCTGCCCTGCAGAGACGTGCCAGAAGGAGGCCAAGGCTGCAGGGCAAGAGGCTGAGCAGGCCCTGGGAGAGCGGGACCAGACTCTGGCTCAGCTTCGGGCCCACGTGGCAGATATGGAGGCCAAGTATGAGGAAATCTTACATGTAAGCACCACCGTTGGAAGCCCAACCCCCAGTACGTAGTGCTCCCCTATCCTCCCACTCCGAACCAAACTAGTTCATGCTGCCATTGTCATCAATGGTAGACCTGGGGGAAGGAGAAGCAGCATCTCCACAGGGAATCCTGCTCTGTCTTGAGGGCAGACTGCCAGGGGAATACAACCATGCCTACTTACTAAAAGTAAGAACTTGAAGAAGACACTGGTGAGGAAAGCTTACAGACCAGCCTGGGGCACCGCTCACTCTACCCTCTCCTTTTCTGGGGCCTCAAACTTGGTGTCTGCAGGGCAGTCTGGACCGACTCTTGGCCAAGCTGAGGGTCGTCCAGCCTCAGTGGGACAGGGCTGCGCTGAGACTTCATGCCAAGTACAAGGAGCAGCTCCGCCAGTTTGGACTCAACCCCCTGGATCTTTGAAGCCATAAGCCGCTAGTCTCTGGGGCTCTTGGAGGCTCCAGCAATAAAGCTATCTTGATGTAGAACTCAACAGAACTGTGGTCTGTGGCTTTTTGGCAGATACGAGGGTCTCCTTTGGGGGCACCTTGGTTCTGGGCTGGCCCATTGCCCTGGAGACTGAAAAAGAGGAGAGAAATTTGACAAACTCTCAGCAACTCTCTCAGAGAAAATGGGCCCCAGGCTTTGAGTCTGAGGCCTTTCTGGGGCCCTTCAATCACCATCCTCTATTCTCCTTCCCCCGGCCAACACAGGCAGCCAGATTCGTGGGGGCAAGGCCCTTTCTCTAATAAACCTACAGTGACCACGCACCAGCCCCCACAATCCTAAGGTGCCTCCAGAGGGAAGGCGTAGCTGCCCTTCAAATTCTTGCAATATAAGCAAGAGTCCAGGAGTTATGCTGGGTAAGTTCCATCTGGAACAATCCTAGCTGGCTTCACAGCCTCATAAAAGGAAACTCTGTGTCCCTTCTCTATTTTATAACACTCATTCCTACTTCACTTCCGGTCACGTAGAAGGGGTCACCAAGCAATTCTCTAACAGCTCTGTGGACACCAGCTGGGTATCTTACGATTTAATTCCATTCTGGCACTACTGAGGTGAAGAGAGCATCCGATCCCACAGGCCTTGGGCTCAGTCCCACAAAACTGTCCCCACTTGAAAAGCCTGTGTCAAGTCCAGCTCGTCTCCTGTGCTTCGGACCCATTGGTGGAAAAACAGAGGTTCCCACGACCCCCTCCTCAGGTTCCATCATCTGCTAGCGTGACTCACAGAACCCAGAGAAACGGTTTACTCACTAGCTTCCAACTTATTATGAAGGACACAAGTCAGGAAGAGCCAGGTGGCAAGTTTGCTGGGGGCAAGGCACAAGCATGGAAGCCTGTGTCCTCTTTGGGGGTGCTGCCCTCCCAGCATCTCTGTTTGGTTCCATCTTTTTGGTTTTTCATGGAGGCTTTATTTACTATGGAGTCATGGTCCATGACACCATTGGTGGTTGGTGATTCATTCCACCTCCAGCACCTCCCCTCTCCCCAGAAGGCCCTGCGTGGGGGTGGGGTAGGCTGAAAGCTCCAGCCATTTAATCACATGGTTGGTTTCCCTGGCAACCAACCCCCCATCCTTAGGTGTTTTCCAAAAGTCACTTCCTTAACAAAGTTAAGTTTGGTTGAAAAGGGCTTGTTATGAGTAAAAGATCACTCTCACTACTTAGGAAATTCCAAGGGCTTTAGGAGCTCTGTGCCGGGAAAGAGTATAATTTATTTTAAATCCCACCACTTGTTTCAGGCAGAACTCCCATCTGTGGGACACAACTCCCAAAGCTCCCATAGGACTTCCTGTGGAACCAGAGGGCAGACCGCCCCCTAGTGGGGCTGGCTAAGACCTCTGGACACACCTTCTTCTGGGAGGTGGGCCCAAGGGAAGGTGGGGAGACACAGGGCAATCCTGTGATTGGAAGTGCCCAGAATACTAGAGCTGTCCCTTCTGGCTTAAAGAGAGCTTCTCAGCTCCTACCATCACAAGCAGGAGAGTGAAGACAGGAAGGCCACTGGGCAGGTCTGTGCCAAGCAGGAGAGGACTATAGCAGCTCTGACATCGGAGCCCAGTCCTGAACAGAGAGAGGAGAGAAGATTATTCAAGGATGAGAAGAGTAAACATTTTCCCTTCCCACCCCCTGCCCTGTGGTGCCCAGGAATGGCAGCAAGTTCCATGGGTCCTTCTGTCCCCACCTACCATGGCCTAATGTCCCAACCTGCATGTCCCCCACTGCTTCACCCTGTGGTTCCCTTCTCTGACTCCCTCTATCCTTCTCTAGTTGCCTGCAGTCCATCTGTCTCTTCTACCTTACCTCTCCAAACCTGGGGGGATTACAAGCTTCCGAGCCCTGGCACGACCTTGCTGCCAGCTTCAGGTGGAGCGGTGGCTCAGCTGCAGCCAGCTGCTGAAGCTTTTCCAGGTCATTCTCTCCACCCATGGGATACCCGTTCACCTCCAGAATCACATCTCCCATTTGCAGCCCTGCCTGGGCAGCTGAGCCTCCTAGGGTCACCTGGTGGCAAAGAGAGGGATCACAGAACATGGGATACCATGGAAAAGTTGCTGGATTGTTTTAAGACCTCAGGAAGGAAGCAGATGAAAGCTCATCAGGAGGCAAATGATTGCAAAGACCCAAGGGGCATAAGTCACCTGGGAGATGAAGATTCGAGGCTCACTGGCCACACAGCTAAGTCGGAAGCCATAGCCACTGCCGGGCGCAGGGTATAGGGAGCACTGGCGGGAGCCGCCTGGGACAAGAGGCACAGCTGTGTCTTCAACAGGTAGGTCCTTGGTTTCAACCAGAGAGGCCGAGCAGGTTTCCTGCAGGGAGGCAGGAGCCTCTGTGCTCTCCAAGAAGAGAAGTGGGGACAAGCGAACCTGGAAGGAGGCGGATAGAACAGACCTGTAGCTTCTCCCTCTGCCTGAGCCCTGCTCCATTCCTGCCCACACTCCAGCCCCCGCCCCACACTCGCACCATACTGAAGAAGCGGTCAGCTTTAGGGTCGACAACAATGAGGGACACACAGGAGCCCTGTGCCCGGATCCTGGCCACCGTCTCCTCATGGCCCAGCCCCTCCACACTTTCCCCAGCCACAGCCACCAGTCGGTCCCCAGCCTGCATCCCGGCTTTCTCAGCTGGCAGTCCTGGGTCCACCTCCCACAGGAACTGTCCTGGGACATAAACATCCTCATTGCTCCTCCCCCAACCCCAGCACCAGCCCAGGCCACTGTGGGCACACGGAGGAACTGAGCCAGGGTGTACACAGGAGGAGGAGGGCAGAGGCTCAGGGCTGGGGTTTTCTGTGCACCATGTCGTGCATGCCCACCCCCAAGCCACACCCTCCCGACCCATCTCTGGGGCTCCCACTCACCAGGGCGACCATCAAGACCTTTCTCCTCACGAAGCAGGAACCCAAAGCCCTGGGGCCCTTTCTTTAGGTGCAGACGGCGGGGCCTGGTGGGCAGTGCCCAGCCCTCTGCCAGGGGTGCAGCCAGGGGCATTCCCAGCTGGCGACACCGTTCCTCCACCTCTGGCCCTGCCACCAGCAGGGTCACTTGGTCTCCACTCTGCCAAAGCTGTGGGGACCCAGTGGGGCATCAGCATCAAGCACCTGGGTGGGGAGGGCAGAGGCAAGCGCTCCTCACAGCCCCAGGAGGGAGGCAGCAAGGTGGGGGAGAGCAGAGCCTAGGACCAACTGTCAAGGGAAGGGTGGCAGGAGGTAGAAGGTCAAATTCAGATGAGGTGCAGGGGGGAGGAATCGGCTGCCGGAGGCAAGGCCCTGGGGCCCAGGTGGGTGAGGATGAATGGGGAAACATACAGCCATACCTTTCTGCTGAGTTGGTGATAAGTGAACTTCTCCACGCTGACCCCGTTCACTTCCAGCAGCCGGGCCCCAGGGGGCACGCCTGCCTGCTCGGCTGCTCCTCCAGTACTCAGCACCAGCCAGAAAGGACCTTGATGGCCTGCAAGCAAAAAAAAAAAAAAAAAAAAAAAAAAAGAAAAAAAGAAAGAAAGTTTCGGTCTGCTGTCTGCCCAGAACAGGGCTGAGATCCCCCTCCTGACCTCCCTCCCGAGCCCCTAAGCTCACTGTAGGAGACACTGAAGCCAAAACCACCCTCGTCTTTCACTACGTGGCACAGTCGGGGCCGGACCCCAGGGCCGAGAGGAGGACAGAGGTGGGCGCTGTTCCCCTGCTGAGCTCGAGCGACATCATGCACGTGCTGCGCCAAGACGGTCAGCAGCACGCGGGGCCCGCTGGCCCGGATGCAGCGAACCACCTAAACCGAGGGGGCGTGGCATGAGGTGGGGCCCGCCCCTCCTGCCAACGCCCCCTCCCCAGAGCCTACATTTTACTCCCCCGGACCCAGCTGTGTGGATACCTTCACTCAACCATTCCCACCTGGACAGCCCCAGATCCCGGGAGGCGGGGGGAGGCAGAGGCTTGGGTACTGCCCGCCTATAACCAGGGAGGGGGCCCCCTGGTTCCTCTCTTCCCGAGATGCTGTGGAGCGTCCTTGGATTCCACAGGGAGACCCCCGGCCCAACCTCACCACAGCGTAGTCTTCACATTCCACGATTCGGTCATTCACCCCCAGGATCCGGTCCCCTTCCCGAAGGCCCTGGTACTGGGCAGAGGTGCCTGGGTCCACCCTGCACACCACAGGCCCAGCCCTGCCCAGCTCCTGCAGGTGGAAGCCAAAACTCCTGCCCTCCTCTTTGCTCAGCAGACAGAAACGAGGCCGCTGCAGGCACTGGAGATCTGGCGGGGAGGGGAGAGGCAACAGAAGAAGGGGAGGGAGGGGATACGACACAAGTACAGGTCACCTTGGCCTGGCCAACCTGCCCTTGTGATAGGGCACCAGGCAGGCTTCTACCCAGGTAGGTGTTGGACGGTGAGGCTAAATACCATATGGGCAGAGTGGCTTGGACAGAAGAAAGCAGCCAACCCCCTCCAACCTCCACGCAGTTACTCCCCACCAAGGCTGTTATCAGAGGGAGGCAGAGTGGAGTGGTTACCAAGGAGATGGAAGGCGTGAGGAGCTGGGGTATCTCTGGGGAAAGGGAACGGTTGCCCAGGGCAAGGGGGTTACCGGAGGGGTCGAAGTCTTCAGCCAGAGAGAGGACAGGATTATCAATGCCCCACTTTGGGTTAAACTCAAACTTCCTGCAAGGAGGTGAGGGATGCAGGTAGGAGTGAGCTGATGACATCTGGACTCTGGTCCCAGCCTCTCCTTGAGGGGCAAATGGCAGCTGAAGAGCCTCCCCACCTTGGAGTCCCTCTGCTCCCAGCCCCAACCCTTCCCAGCACCGCAAGGCACTTACCGAGTTAACGAGGCTGTGTCCCGAAGACCTGCTGTGCAAAGAAGGGATGAGGGGAGGAGGGCTGCGTTCTGTCCCTACCCAGACTCCTCTTCCAGGGTCATTAACTAAAAGGACTCAGGAGAACCCCCACACTCAGGGCTTGCCCCCTCCATTCTGCTCCAGGAAAATCTTCCCTTCCTC